TTTTATTTTGCATGTAAATATTTATGAGTAGAAATTAATGTCAAATGCATATATGAAAAAATGAACATTGGACGTTCTTTGCAAAACAAAACAACAAGAAAAAGGAAAAAATAGTTTGAAATTTCTTTGAAAATGAATTGTATTGACTTTGAAGTTTGGCCTGTAAAATAGGCATTTTTGTACAAGAGGCTAACGTCCCAGTAAGGGAACGCCGCCGAATAATAGAATTTACACAATTTTTTAAAAAATAAACAAAACAGCTATGTGAATAATTCCATGGGTTCCAACTCTGCTATTGCCTTTATGTTCTCGAGCATCTCATCACTTTGCTGCTTGGTTGAAGGTAGATCAGATTGATTAGTGTCGTCCAAGCTTGATAGTCGATACCGAAGTCTGGTTGCAAGGTGATCCCATGAGACATAGTGTTACACTTTGATCCCTAATTTTTTCCTGGACCGCCCTTTCGGGTTTTCAGTCCACGGGGATACCATTTTTTGCCCAAGCCACCTTTTTAGGTTTTCGACTTGCCGGGTGTACAGTTTTTTTTTTCATTTTCATCCCTTATTTTTGCCCGAACCCTTTTGGTTCGCCGGGAAGCCCTTATTTTTGCCTAGGCCAGTCGACCTAGCGGGTCGTTGATTATGCGTAGTATTTTTTCACTATGTCTGCATTGACAGGGTGAGGAAGGTCGTCACCATCCATGGTGGTTAGAATCATAGCTCCTTCTTAGAAAATGTTCTTAACCACAAATGGTCCTTCATAAGTAGGAGTCCATTTTCCCCTGGGATCACCTTGTGGCAGTATGATGCGCTTGATAACCAGGTCCCCAACTTGATACTCTTGCCGTCTAACTTTCTTGTTAAATGCCTTGATCATCCTCTTTTGATACGTTTGACCATGACAAATAGCAGTGAGTCTTTTTTCGTCGATTAAGTTCAGCTGATCAAGCCGGGTCTAAATCCAGTCATCTTCGCTCAAACCTGCGTCCTTCATAATCTGGAGAGAGGGTATTTGAACTTCAATGGGAAAGACTGCCTCCATACCATATACCAAGGAATAGGGTGTGCCCCTGTTGACGTCCGCGCTGAGGTACGGTATCCATGAAATGCAAATGGTAACATCTCGTTCCAGTCTTTGTATGTCACTGTCATCTACTGCACGATCTTCTTAATATTCTTATTAGCCGCTTCGACAGCCCCATTCATCTTCGGCCGGTAGGGAGAAGAGTTGTGATGTTGTATCTTGAACTGCTTGCAGAGTTCGGTGATCATCTTATTGTTGAGATTTGTACCATTGTCCGTAATGATCCTCTCGGGTACACCGTATCGACAAATCAGATTGTGTCGAATGAATCGTGCCACGACATTCTTGGTTACAGTAGCAAAGGAAGCCGCTTCAACCCACTTCATAAAGTAATCAATTGCTACCAGGATAAAATGATGCCCGTTGGACACTGTAGGTCTGATCTCACCAATCATATCGATGCCCCACATTGCAAAAGGCCACGGAGCCGTCAAGACGTTCATAGGAACTGGAGGTATGTACACATTATCAGCATAGACTTGGCACTTGTGATAGGTCCGAGAATGCTGATAACAGTCGGCTTCCATTGTGGACCAATAAATCCTGCCCGTAGGATTTTCTTTGCCATGGTGTGTCCACTGGAATGAGTCCCGAAAGTACCTTCGCGTAAATCAACCATAATCCTTTCTGCCTCGTTCCTATCCACACATCGCAGTAAGGTCGAATCGTGGTTACGCTTGTAAAGAATACCATTGCTGATGAAGAACTTCGCCGCGAACCTCCTCAAAAACTTCTTATCATTAACAGATGCACCCTCGGGGTATTCCTGAGCCTCAAGGTATCTCTTCACCTCATGAAACCAGGGTTTATCTGTTACCTCTTCAGTCTCAATATCACAGCAATGTGCAGGTTCGTCCAATCTTTCAATGATAATCCGGGGAGCTTCGTTGTCCCAATTGAATTTGAACATAGAAGACATTGTAGCCAGCGCGTCCACCAACTGATTCTCCTCTCTTGGGAAGTGTTCAAAGGTTATTTCCTCGAAATGAGGAAGCAACGTCAATACATAATCCTTGTAAGGAATAAGATTTGGGTGTTTCGTATCCCACTCGCCTTTGATCTGACTGATCACGAGAGCGGAATCTCCGAACACACTCAAGAACTTAATCCTTAGGTCAATTGCTGCTTGAAGACCCATGATGCACGCTTCATACTCTGCCATATTGTTGGTGCAGTTGAAACATAGTCGGACGGTAAACGGAGTATGGGAGCCTTTAGAAGATATGATCACGACGCCAATGCCATTACCCAAAGCGTTCGAAGCTCCATCAAAGTACATAGACCATCAGGATCCCTCCTCAGGTCCTTCATCCGGTCTAGGTGTCTCACAATCAGTTATCAACATGATATTCTCATCTGGAAATTCAAAGTTCATAGACTGGTAATCATTCACTGCTTAATGTTCCAGATGATCTGCCAACACACTTCCCTTGATTGCCTTCTGGGTCGTATATTGAATGTCATACTCAGTCAGAATCATCTGCCATCTTGCTATTCTTCCGGACAAGGCATGCTTTTCGAAGATATACTTGATTGGATCCATCTTTGATATCAATAGAGTAGTGTGAGTCAGCATATACTGTCTCAGCCGACGAGCAGCCCATGCCAAAGCGCAACAAGTTTTCTCGAGCAGTGAGTATCGGGTCTCACAGTCGATAAACTTTTTGCTAAGGTAATAAATAGCATGCTCTTTTCGGCCATACTCCTCATACTGACCCAGCACACACCCCATTGAGTTGTCGAGTACTGTCAAGTATAAGATCAGAGGTCTCCCTTCAACTGGAGGCATCATAATGGGTGGCTCTTGGAGATACTCTTTGATCTTTTTGAAAGCGACATGACATTCATCATTCCATCTTACCACTTGATCTTTCTTTAGTAACTTGAAGATCGGCTCACAAGTAGCAGTCAGGTGTGAGATGAATCGGGCAATATAGTTCAGACGTCCCAGAAAACCTCTGACTTCTTTTTCTGTTCGGGGAGCTGGCATTTCCTGTATAGCCTTCACCTTTGCAGGATCCACTTGAATACCTTTATCGCTTACGACAAAACCCAACAGCTTACCAGATCTCACCCCGAAGGTGCACTCGTTCGGATTTAACCTCAGCTTGTACAACTTTAACCTGTCAAATAGCTTCTGAAGATGGTCAAGATGCTCTTCTTCAGTCTGGGATCTTGCAATCATATCATCGATGTATACCTCAATCTCATGGTGGATCATGTCATGGAACAAAGCGACCATGGCACGCTGATATATTGCCCCAGCATTTTTCAATCCGAAAGGCATGACCTTGTAGCAAAAGGTGCCCCATTGAGTAACAAAGGTTGTCTTCTCCATGTCTTCGGGAGCCATTTTAATTTGATTATAACCAGAGAAACCATCCATAAAGGAGAAGACCTTATGCTGAGCGGTGTTGTCAACCAGAACATCGATATGAGGTAGAGGGAAATCATCCTTGGGGCTTGCCCTATTCAGATCCCTATAGTCAACATATATTCGAACCTTACCATCCTTCTTTGGCACAGGAACCACATTGGCAACCCACTGTGGGTAAGAAGTAACTGTTGTACCCCAATTTTTGTCCTAAGATCCCATTTTTTTTATGTTTTGAATTTTTAAGATAAGTCAAGGTCACTAAATACGGTCGGTTTTAACCTCTCACCTTCGAGCTTTGACTATGCGAAGATGGTCAAGTGTTTTGAACATTTTTAGCCTATGTATCACTAATTTCTAATCGCATACAAAGGTGTATGTTCATGTTTTCTTTTGCTTCATGTGCAGAGACAGGTCTGAATCAAGAGCATCAGGTGTCGCACCTCAATTAAGGTTTTGAGTCTCCCAAGCCCGAAGTACGGTTGATTGTGGATTCTCGAAGATTGATTCATCAAGGCACAACTATTGCACCCTAAATTTCGCCCCTAATATGTTTTAGTCGCACTTTCATATCATATTTTGTTATTTGGTCACAATCATTAGTAAATACCTTCATTCATCACATTTTGCATCATTAGTCGTATTTAAGTTGACCAGAAAAAGTCAGTTTAAATCAAAGTTTGCTTCGTCTTTCAGTTGTAAAATACCCGACATTTCATTTCATTCATTTTTATCTGTTTACTATTTTCTTGCACTGCTCCAAATTGTTTATATGTCGATAATAAAATATTTCAGTTTTATAGATAGACTGTTAAAAGCGATTCGACACTATGCGGGAAAGTAGCGAGAAAATATTTCAAGTTTTCACCTTTTACTGATCATTTTATGAATCTGCGCTTCGCGTAGATTATGACGGTATGCTCGCTTTATTTTTTTCGGTATAGTTCGAAGTCTCGTTTTTAACCTTAAACGTTTGTTTAGTCTGATATTTTTATTATTATTTTATTTTTGATTTTTGACTTCTTGAATATTTTTTCTTTAATCTTTGTGACATGTAGATTATTTTAATGTGTTCATTTTATTTTTTCGGATAAATTTTCGTCTGTTTTTTATCATTTTCGGTCATTTTGGGTCTTTATTTTTTATTCATAAAATATTCAAAAAAAAATCATTTTAAATTGAGTTAATTTTAATACATTTAGTTTTTTTGGTTATTTTTATCATTTAAGGACTATTTGATCACAAAATATATTATTTACATTATGCTCTATTCCTATTGGTTGTTGGATGAAATTGAGGATCGATACAAAATTGCCAAAAACAATATTAATCACTTTTTACCCTTTCCCCCTCTATCCAATCTCTTCCCCTGATACAATAACAAAAACAATTTCAACCCTTCTATTTTCACTCATCCTCCAACAATTAACACATATAGTAATTCATCTCAACTTTCTATCTTTTCTTCCTAACATCCATCCCTTTATTTCCCTCTCCAATTTCAACACAAAATAATCTCATCATAAAACACCCTCATTTTTCAATGCATAACATAATCCCCCACCTTCATCAATACTCCCTTCCATCTCTATCATACCCTCCACCTCAACCATCACAGCATCCGTTGCTTTCTCTAGACCCACTTCCTCAAAACTGTGGGCATGGACATGGGCCTGGACTCCTTGTCTCGAAATCAGAGGATATTAACAGGCCCATGGACTTTGTCGGCTCTAGGATTGGGCTTAACCTTGGTGGTCGTACTTACTTCTCCTCTTCCGAAGATGACTTCGTGAGCCGACTCTACCGCCGGTCTAGACAGCCTGAACCGGGTTCACACGGGTCTTCCAACTCGCCTAGGTGCCAGGCCGAAGGATGCAATGCTGATCTATCTCAGGCGAAGCACTACCACCGCCGACATAAGGTTTGTGAGTTTCACTCCAAGGCAGCCACCGTCATCGTCGCTGGGTTAACTCAGCAATTCTGCCAGCAATGCAGCAGGTTTCATCTTCTTTCTGAGTTTGATAATGGAAAACATAGCTGCAGAAAGAGATTAGCTGATCATAATCGTCGCAGACGAAAAACTCAACACCCAAATACTCAAGAAATTCACAAATCTCAAAACACTTTGGAAAATGCTGCTACAAGATCTCCGCCGGAGTCGGGGACTCAGTCTTCATCATCGGTGACGGTGGCGGTTTCTCCGCCGGATTATTTTCGAAAAAGGTCGTATCAAAGCCCAAGCACATCAATCATCTTCAAGCTCTTTGATTTAAGCAAGTTTGCCGAAACGCAAGGAACATACTCCATTCGCACGAAATTCCGAGGGGGAAAGGTTTGTTTCCTATCGTTGTTAGGCAGCCATGGCCAGCGAAGAGGAAGAGGAAGATTGTTTCCGTTGGGGCTCTGGAAAAGGTTATGTTTGTTTTGAGTAAGCACATGAGGTGGCAATTCCTCACTGATGCATGCATTTTTTTTTTCTTTATTTTTGTTTATTAAATAAATTTTGAAACTAAAAAGAATAATGAAAAAATGAAATAAAACAATTGTTTATCTTAAAAAATATATAAAAAAATATTAGTAAATCTTATAATTAATTTAGTTTAATATTAATTTAGAATTCTTTAATTAGTTTAGATTTATTTTATAACTTTAGAATTTTATTTCATTTAGTAAATTTTAGAATTTTATTTGTTTTAGTTTAGTTTAATAACTTTAGAATTTTATTTGATTTTATTTAAGTTAACTTTAGAATTTTATTTGTTTAGTTTTAGTTTAGTGACTTTAGAATTTTATTTGATTTTATTTAGTTAACTTTAGAATTTTATTTGTTTAGTTTTAGTTTAGTGACTTTAGAATTTTTATTTGATTTAGAATTAGTTTAATAAATTTATAATTTTTATTTGATTTAGAATTAGTTTAATAAGTTTATAATTTTTATTTAGTTTAATAACTTTAGAGTTTTTATTTGATTTAAATTTAGTTTAGTAGTTTTAGAATTTTATTTGATTTAGATTTAGTTTAGTAACTTTGGAATTTTTATTTGTTTTAGATTTAATTTAGTAACCTTAGGATTTTAATTTAATCTAGATTTAACTTACTAAATGTTAAAACTTTAGTTTAGTTTAGATCAAATTCAATAATACTAGATTTTTTTTATAACCTTAGAATTTGTAATTAGTTTAGAATTATTTTAGTAAGTAATTTTTAATTTAGTTCGAATAACTTATTTAGATAATTAGTTATATTCCTTTTTATTTGTATATTTCTGTCATTTCAATTTCTCGGTGCCTCTTGATCATTAATTTTTTTTTGTCAGATTTATTTTCTTGTGAACTTCTGAATGTTTATATTTTGATGTTCATTTTATTTTGCTTACTCCAAGGAAAAGATTTAAATTTGTTGACTTCACGTCATCAAATACATCTCATCCGATCGTGCAAATACCCTTTTTCATTTTTTGTTTGTTTACTATTTTGCTAAACTCAAGATAATTTTCCCAAAAGACTCCATTTTCAAACTCACCCCTTTTAAGTCAAAACTTCGACACTAGGTCGTCGTATCTTCAAAAATCTCGTCCATACCCATCTTTTAGCCAAACGAATCATTTTAATCAAACAAACAATTTTAAACCAAAAAAACAGATATTTCAAAAGGTTCCTGCGGAGTACCGCAGATGCATTGGGTGCTAATACCTTCCCATTATATAACCAACCCCCGAACTCTCGATCTCTTTTAAAAACGCATTGTATTTTCATTACTTTTAAATATTACTTTACATTGCATATTTTAGGGTTTTATTTCACTCTTTTCCCTTTTCCCTTGGAAATAATAAAGCGCGGTGGCGACTCTTGCTTTTGCGAGTCAAGTTAATTAATAGCTTGATCTCGGATTTTCACCGCTACAGAATTGGCGACTCTGCTGGGGAAAGATTGACCTCTTGCTGGTCCATCCCTAAGTGGGTTAAGCCTAATTTGTTTTATCTGTTTTATCATTATTTGATTGTTTGATTATATGTATATATTATCATTATTTGGGTGTTGATAATATTTATAAAGGACAAGTCCTATACCCGGACTAAGTTACACTTAGTAATAGGACGGGCGGTATAGTCATGTTAACTTTGAGGGAGTAATCCCGAAGAAGGAGGCATCAGATCCCCCACTCAGTGGAAGGCCCTTTTGAACGTAATATTTGTTTACCGAGTAATCGGGAAGACATTATTATTTTCGACCTGGGAGCTAGAGAAGCTGGGAACCGTAGAACCCTAACCCATCTTGGCCTTTTAGGTGTAGCGCGGAGATTATAACGGAGTAATCCGGAAGTAATTGTTACGCGATGCTACACTCGGATGAGTTTCTCTTGAGAATATTGCTGATTATTGAGTAATCAAGACGTTGGTAATATCCGAAGGAGGAATGTTGACTCCGGGAACTCTTAGAACCTTGTTCTACAGGTGTGATTAAACTGTTAGTACATACCTTGGGGGTGTTCCTTACCTTGACTCCATGCTCGTGACGTTGAACCTTTCGACTTTATTTGTGACCTTGCTTGTGGTTGTTGCATAGCCATGCATTCATGCATCCATAAAACCCTTTTCACTTGACTTTGAAGGAATTTGGAGGTCTTTCTTTGTAAACATCACAAGTTTCGTCAAGCTCAATGGATCTTGGGTGTTGATAGGGCGAAAACCCTAATCCACCAAAATGGATGATTGATCTTGATGATAACTTGATCAATGTTTGGAGCCAATTTAAAATTCATCTTCTATCTTCATACTTTGATGTTTACAACTTAATATCTTGAGTTCCTTGAAAATCAAATAAAAACTCTCTTTTTCATATCATACACCATTCTACATTTTTTTTGTTTCAATTTCAAAAGTCTTTTTCCAAGTCTTATTTTTCCCTTGGTCTCACCAGTACAACACTCGCGCTAAGAGAACAATGGAGAATATCAAGCAAGAGGTTTCTGAACTCCGTAGAGAGATGACTATTTTGAAAGCTAGTATGGAGCACTTAACTGGTTTGGTTGAAATTCTGGTTGCCGCCCAAGTCAATCCTTCTAGGAGGGAGGAAGCGATGATAAAAGTATTCACTGAAACTCTAAAATCATTCTCTCAGGAGAAGGTGATGGTTAATGCACCTAGTGACTTTCCTGACAAGGTGAATGTGGGAGTGCATCTAGAAGAAGATGTCTGAAAGGGATGTTTATATGAAGATGGTAGCTCAGCTAATGGTGTGAAGAAGTTTGATAATGACTTTTCCAAGAAGAGAACCAGAGGAAGAAATAATCATCATCAGAATCATCATGTTTCTCCCATTTATCAACAGAATCAGCAAGTTCCTAATCAGAGGAAAACTCAATTTGATCCAATTCCAATCACCTATACAGATTTGTTCCATATCATGATGCAGAGGAATTTGGTTCAGACCCGACCTCCACCGAAGGTTCCTGAGAAGATACATTGGTACTACAAAGCTGATTTGGCTTGTACTTTTCATCAAGGTGCTCCTGGGCATGACTTGGAGGGTTGCTTTGCTTTGAAGATTGAGGTTCAGAAGTTGGTCAGAAGTGGTATCTTGTCATTCAAGGACGTTGGTTTTGAAGTTCAAATCAAGCATGCGCCGAAGAGTAAACACGATTGATGGTGATTTTGATTTTTGAAGGATGTTGTCGGTAATTCAAGTCCAGATGGAAAGCCTTCCCAGATTATTAACTTATTTCTGCTTTTTGTAATTTTTCTTGTTTATCAAAACATTGTTGGCATGTAAGAACTTGTTTACATCTGAATGATTATCTTAATACAATGAGTATGTTTGTCTTGAAGAAATTCATTCGTTTCACTCATATTTGTTTTCAAATTTTAAATTTATTCTTGTATTATGATACCAACTTGTTGCCCATTCTCTTGCCTAGGCAGAGATTGAAGGGAGGATGATGATCTAAAGAACACAAAATCTCTGGTTGCATGCTTTTGGATAAAATCTTGCTGATGATGTACATGCATTGTTTCAAATCCCTAAACACCGAAGATATAAGGAAGATAATCCCTTGCTAACCCCTTTTGAGCCTTTGAAGCAGAAGTTTCTTTTCTATATGAAAAAACCTTGAATTTTAACCTGGGGCAGGGTAGTTTTTAGTTAATCTGACTGAGTGTTCAAAATTCATGAGGAAGATGTTTTTTGAAGAGAAACTGAGAGGGCTATCCTTCTTGTATAATGAACCTAGAGGATATGGAACCACAATGTTATCCCTCATTCATCAAGATACGAGGCAATCACAATCCTCTCAACAAGCAAAGACAAGCTAATGGCACACATTTTGTTCAAAAAGTCAAAAATCGAGAAAAAAAGAAGAAGCCTGCTAAGTCAAAAAACATGAAAACGTGTGACTTAGGCAAAATTAAGGCATCCCGCTGGACTATCAATTCAAAAGAATTAATTCAGGTAAAAGTTAGGGAAAATAAAATTGCAAAGAAAAGGACTGCAAAGAAAAGTCCTCAGCAAAGAACAAATTGGTGACTACAAACACGAAGACATGAGGGTGGTTTCTACTCCGAAAGCCTCGTCGTTTCCTTGACCGTCACAAAATTCTTTTGAGAGATGAACACTCATGTTGAATTAACTGAACATAGGGTTGGAGAACATCATGAAGAATGGGTGGGCACCAAATATTTTGAGCCTTAAAAATCTTTTTTCTAAAAACCATGAACCAGGCCACGTTACAACCTTCAAAAGTCCTAATTGAAGCAAGGTTATTTTGAAAGCATACTTCCATGAGATAATGTTCCTGACTCCCATGAATGTTTGTTAAATAGTTATGTTGGTATCATATGATTTTCCTATACAAAGATAAATGGTGCTCTAACTCGCAAAATTTGTGCGATATCTCTTCAAAACCTTCAAGACTTACATAACTGTTGCATTAGAATTTTCATTCTTATAATAAACTTTTTCTAACTGCAAAACATTTGTTTGATATCAAGGAAGCTCACATAAGCACCAGTGATGAGTTTATTCTTTTAAGGCCTGAAACTCTGTTGAGTAATTAGAGAATCATTTCAAGAACAAAATCATATTCAGGGGCGTGTCACATGAAGACCTTAAGCACGAACATGTTGCTTCTCCCAGTTAATGCTTTTCTCAACTTGTTTGCTCGTTTGGGGCAAAAATTCGAAGACTTTTTTGTGCCGACTACAGTCAATCTGGGGAAATCACGTAAAGATTTGATGAATCTCTCTAAGAGTTTGAAGACACCAGAGCATGGTGAATGCCAGGTCTTTTGTAAAATCCTCTTGAGACGATTTCTCCTCATCAACCAGATAGCTTGGGGCATTCTAGAAGTGAAGTTATTCGCAAGAATGGTCATGCAACATGCAGCTTATCAGCAGTAAACTTGGGGCATCCAAAATTAGTCCCAGGGGCAATC